CAGCAATATTTACAATGGCTTGCCGGAATGGCGGAATGGTGGAATGGTGGAATGGTGGAATGGTAGAGTGGTGGAATGGTGGAATGGTGGAATGGTGAAATCGTGGAATGGTGGAATTGTGGAATGGTGGAATGGTAGAGTGGTGGAATGGTGGAATGGGGAATGGTGGAATGGTGGAATGGTGAAATCGTGGAATGGTGAAATCGTGAAATGGAGGAATGGTGGAATGGTGGAATGGTGGAATAGTGGAATATCCTACAACATGGAGTGCTTTGAACAGTATCACCTGGACACACGACAGTGCACGTTCCATCGTCTCCAACCTCCGAAGTGCCGTGTGCTGAACCGTCGTCCTTCCAAACGGAATTGCCCCTAACAGGCCTTCGAAGATCACAGAGAGAACGGAAGCCCCCGGCAAGATTTCGGGATTACGTGTTGACGTGACGAAAGCCCCAGCCGTCCAGCGATTACCTGACGAGACCCCCAGCCTTCCAGTGATTCAGCGATTACGTGTTGGCGTTCTGTGTTTTATTTTTTGTGTGTGTGACACTTTTAGTTTCTTTTTTTGGTAAGAGGAAGGGTGTGACGAATGATCGTGCATATTATCATGCATTATCAAATACCCCTATCACCTAGGTGATAGAATAACTATAACTCTGTATATAGGTTGATGATCTTGGCATTAAATCAGTTTTTTGGCTTCTTCCTGATCAAATGTAGTTGTCCGTTGTCATAGCGCTCGTTACAGTTACCAGGTTTATAATTTTCTCTACTATGAAGTAACTGTAGATTATGTTTGATTAAGACTTTCTGGTTTCAAATTAAAAATTTTTAAGATATGTTTCTCTTGCTCAAACACATTTATTTGTTTCTCATTGTCATTTGAATTATAAGCAGTGATTATCCCTTCAACAACTTTTCCAAATTCTCCAAAGAAAACACTACATTACTTCCACTTCAGCTCTAGAGTAGTTTGCTCAGATTCTGATAAAACTTCACCACTGTCAGTGAGGAGACTGTTGACAGGGCCATACTCTGTACATGCTGCCAAGCTGCTTCTTTCCTGAACACTATCATCATTGGTAGATATGAACCCATTCAAACTATTGGAAGTTATTCTGCAGTTTTTATAAGGAGCTTTTCTTGTTTTGTAATCCTTGCCACAAACTGCTTAAGATGACCAGTTGCAATTGGCGACACGATTCTTCAAGGGTTTGGAAGATTTTATTGCCTTCTTCAAGTATAACTCTCACAAAGTGGAGTTATAAAAAAACTTCCTGCTACTGATGATTCTACAGACCATCTACTATTGCATGACACTGTTACCAAAACCTGTGGCATGAAAATGTTTTTCTCTGGAAGCTCGCTTAGAATTTCTCTTGCTACATCCATAACACCATCAGCATGCTTCATGCTGCCTTTTGGAGCTTCCGAAGTCTCCATTAGTTCACTCATCCGAAAATGATGAAATTTGGTTACAGAGAACCTATATCTCTCTCTCTCTTGGCATAAGTGTCAGTACGCTAGGAGTCACGATAACTGCAAACAGGACAAGGTTATGTTTAAGACTGTAAAAACTGTGGTTTAGGAGTGAGTTCACCAGATATATACATATTTAACAATTATTCGCCGAAGGCGAGGTGAATATCATCAAATAGTCCCCCAGACGTAGTCGAGGGGATAATTCGACAATATTCACCGAACCTGAAGCGAATAATTGTTTTAGTATAATTTCAGAGCTGAACAACAGAGAAATTTCTAAAATCATAACATTTTAGTAACATTTATTAACATTTTATTTTAAAATTTTATATAAACCGCGTGGAGCGAGTTATATAGCGTCATATAAGGAACCGCTCGGCAAATCAGATTGCTGGAAACTCTTTGCTCAGCTCTGAAATTATACTAAACATATGTGTTAAGTAGAAAAACACTACGACTACTTTTTAATCTCTACAAGTCTGTTTCGTGATTGCTCACTCATCAGGGGGTTTTATTGACAAGAATATTCGTTACCATCGTTTATATAATAATATATATTGAACTCTACTTTTATGTATCCAGCACTGTTGTACGGAAAAATCAAAGCACAGACTTCCTATATATAGATATATATACATATATATAGTAAGCATTGCACATAGCTCACAAGGCTTTTCTAGTTTGAGCACTCTGGCATGGCTTAGACGATACCACAAATGTGGGGTCGTTTGGGGTGACCATATCGGTTCTCCCCCATCCTAGCATCAGCACTGCACTGATGAGGCCCAGAAGACCCATAGAATACTAAGTCAGTCATGCGATTTTGAGCTCCGAGGATACGTAAGTGTTTTTCACTTAAATTACTTGCTTCCATTTCGCCCTTTGGGCGCTTTTTGCCTCCATTTTGTTTAATACTTGATCGTGAAATGTCTTCTGAAACTATGGAAATGAATGCCGAAACGTCGAACGACATTTTTTTCTGCCACTACCGATACATGTATTCCTGACAACGAGCATTCGCAAGATTCAAGTATAGTTAATGGTGACCTATACGCCCAAAGGGCTGGAAGAACGGCTGGAACTACCACTACAACAACAACCAGGCCGCGACAAGAACAATCTATCTCACGAGAAAACTCAATGCCACAGCGACCGAAGTCTGCTTTCTTCGCGCCGGACCCGAGATCTTCGGCCCGCTCGGTTTTCGAATTCAAGATCATGACATACAGTGCCTTCAACGAAAACTGAACGGTGAGGTAGTAATAACTTTTTAAAATCCTAAAGCGAACGAAAAGTTCCTGCAACTCAACGCCCTAAAAAATCGAGAGCACTAATTATGCACTTCAGGACATCGACAGACCCCTCACCTCTCTCACCATTTATGACGCCCCCTTTGAGCTTTCCGACCTGGAAATTATCCAACGTCTCACGCCTTTCTGCGAAGTCATTAATTACCGCCGCGGCAAACATCACAACAGCAATATTTACAATGGCTTGCGACACTTTCTCTCGTGGCTAAAAAGCCCAATTCTAGAACGGCAGACACGGCCGCATCCACTGCACACGAAGAAACATACCACTGGAACACACGTTGCTTTGTTCATTGCTGCTTTTCTCTTAGCTCTTCTATCATCGGCTTCAGCTTTCAGCCTTTCCTCTCCCGCCTGGAGTGCCAGACTGCACACAGACCTCCAATCACTCCGCATGTAGCTACGAGTTATCTGTTGGTAGGCCAGTGGCGAGCATATCTCTCTTGCATACGTCCTTGAAACGCAGCTTAGGTCTGCCAATAGGCCTCGAACCGGATTCCAACTCGCCATACAGCAGATCCTTAGGGATTCGCCCATCCTCCATCCGGTACACATGACCGAGCCACCTCAATCTGCGCTGTCTTATCAGGGTGAACATCGAGGGGATATTGGCTCTTGCAAGTACCTCATTGTTAGAGACCTTATCTGTCCATGAGATGGAGAGGATGCGACGAAGACATCTCATATGGAAGATGTTCAAGCGCTTCTCCTGACTAGCGTAGGTAGTCCAAGACTCGCTACCAAACAATAAGGTGCTCACGATGCA